GGGGGATGCAGGGGGTGTGGGAGGCAGCTTTGTTTTTGTACCGGGCGGGGCGGGAGGGGACGGGAGAGACGGCCAGGAAATAACAATGGTGAAATAGAAGTGAAAAAAATGGGGTAGGTAGGGTTTGCTGAGGGATGGAAAAACAAATTGGAGGAATTTAACAGCTGTTGTAAAATTACCCCCTCGGAGCGGTTGAAGGGTGGGCAGATGAGCTTATGTTTTTGTTTTCTGCAGGAGGCTTTGGCAGGGAGAGTGGAGTGGAGTCGGGAGTTTTAACACAGGTCCTGAGAGCAGCTTTTATACCCTGGATCAGCTCTGAAACTGAAAACAAGAGAGTTTCCACTGCACATTGCAATACAGCCCTTCCAGCAGACACTTATATGTATCTTTTTAGGACAAATCCCCAGGCAGGAGAAAGATCTGTTACCCCTCCTGCGGTGGAAGGTGTCCTTTTGTTAATTTCCAAAGGAGTGCAGTTGTTTTGGTTTCAGTGCTTTGTTAGGCAATTGTTGTTTGATTGGAGTAACATGATTAAACTTATCATTGATGGAAATTAAGAAATAACTAGGGGAAACAGTTGCAAGGCTGCTTCCCAGATAATGACAAAATGAGTAAGAGTTAACAAGGTAACAGGATTTTTGCATTGTATCCAAGGTACAGTGAGCTTGACAGGAAGTTTTAAAATAACACATTTCACTTTTCATTGAAAAAATAAAAGAATTCAGTTGTGAGACAGAAAAATACCCTGAAAATGGATATCCCCACTGACAGATTGAGTGTATCATCACGTCTGGTTCTATTTGGGATGGTTTGGATTGTTGACATTGTCTGATGTTGTTCTTAATAATTAGTGTGTTTGAAGCAAGGCAAAGGATAAAATATGTTACCTGCCATTCTTTATATAAGAAAAGACATGTTCCTTTCTAGAAAATAAAAAAAATAAGCAAGTGATTCATGGCAAGTATACATTCTTTTCCAAGACTAATAGGTAGAACAGGGAGGCTTTAAAATAATGTGTGTTAAATTTGGTTGTGTCAGTATTTTTGAGCCATAGCAGATTGTGAATGAAAACTCCATTTTTTTCCTTTTCTTTTTTTTTAATGGCAAAGCTTTTGTGATGGGCACTGTCTGGGAGTGCTGGGCAGGCTATAGGGAGGAGCTGATTTTGAACATTCAGTTAAAACTTAGAGGAGTGAAAGTGTATGAGGGGCCACCACATTCCCTCCATCTCCTTGGGGTGCAGACCCAGGGAATCAGACTTTGGTAGCCTTGGCTTTTACAGCACAGAAATTGTGAGTGGCAGAAGCTGAGTTAAGCTTTTTTTTGTTGAACTTTAATTAGCAGAGCAGTTTATTGGTAAGTGAAGGAACATTTTATGTGTTACTACTGATAAATTGAGTTCTCTTTGTAATTTGTTCTGAAAGCAGAAATTACTTCTTTATTTTCCCTAGCTGAAATGACATTTCCTTTATCACTTTTCACCTCTGATTTTTTTTGACTTACGAAATGTACAGTGTGCATTTTTCCTCTTCTAATTCATACAGGCACAGTGCCTTTTTAGGTGAGCCAGATGAATTTATTGTAGTAGAGGCTTGTTAAAGTAAAGGCTTAAAGGCTTGAAAGGTTGTAATTGCTGATTTTGTTGGGGTATTTTTGTCTATTTTGGGATTTTTTTTCTTTGCTTGTTTGGGGTCTTGTTTTTACCTCTTCCCATCAGACTAAAACTTAAAGGGAGATGTGGCAGCAGCATCTTATTCTCTAATTTGTCCCAGTTCTGCTTCTTGATGTGTCATGGATGATCCTTTTCCTTTGTGAAATCTCACTGGTTTCAGAGAAGTTCCTCCTGGGCTTTGGGATCAGTGTGAGCAGATCTGGTTGTAAAAGAAGGGCTGTGGTTTGGAGAGAACTTCTGCTCAGAGGCTGGATTTGTAGAGAAATTCTCATCTCAAAAGATGTGAGTCAGAGTGTCTGGAAAGATTGAAGAGGGGATATTCCCAGGTGGATAGGGTACAGGTCTAGTGCTTGAGAGATGTGGAGAGCCTGATGCAAATCACTTCACCTGTTTGTATTTCCTTTTGAAGGAATTTAAAATAGGGATAGTGAATCTTGCTGACTGGTAAGGAGTCCTGATGCCTGTGGATGAAAGAGCCCATGTAGGAACTGGGAAATAATACTACTGTTTTCTAGCTCTGTTAATTTAATAGTCTGATGAAACATTTTTCTCCATTGCTGGCAATTGTTTTTGTTAGTAAAATGTCCTGGATATTCTTTCTGACTTCTAGTGTGTTGATTTGTTTTTCTTTTTATTTGTTATTTACTACCATCTTATATTTGCTAATGAACATTATTCTTGGTGTTTTCATTTTAGTAATGGCAGAAACAGTTGCTGGAGCAATTCAGGTTATTAAAGCCTTTGAATCTCTCACCTCACTGGCATCCCCTCCTGAGGTCAGTGGGACCTCACAGGTCTGGTAGCAGGAGTGAAATCTAAATTAAAAAAGTCTTTGGAATTAATTTAAATCCATCCCCTGTGTACAGCCTGACAGTAACTGGGGAAAGTTGTGGGAGCTGGCTTGGAGCAGGAGAAGGAAGGGTGGTGTGACACACTCCAGCTTAGGGATAGAGTGGTTGGACAGCTGGAATTCCCCTGCCTGGGGGATCAGTAGGCCAAGAATCCCAGCGAGCTTCAATCCTGTCCTGACGTTTCTGCTGGCATTGCTGAAGCTTTCTTCCTGGAAGGAAGCAGATCTCTCTGTGTTCCTCTCTGTGCAGCACTGCCAGTGGCTCATCATGGGGGGGGAAATTCCACATTTTGTAATCGCAACCCTCCCTCCTGCTCGTATTGCAGCTGTTGAATCCTTTCTTACTTCTTTTGCTGAGATGCTGTGGCAAAATTTCGTTTTCAGTATATGGTACATGTATTTTTTACCCCATAAATGGAAAGATTATGAGTTAGATTTTCAGAACAAACAAGACCTTCCTTTTTCATTCTTGTTTGTCTTGCTCTCTCTTCCATGGCCTTTGGCAGCAAGGCAGCACTTGTGTTTATATGTATCAATGACATATATTTAAAGACATGGTACTTTATATGTTGGATTTTTTTCCTCCTCTTAGTGCAGACTTCTGTGGTTGCCATCCTTTTTCAACAAAGAAGAGAGAATGTTTTAAAAGAGGCTGGTTTTTCAAAAGTCTCCACACAGCATTGGTATGGAATTAAAAAAAAAAATTCTGAAGGAATGCTTAGTCTTCTGGAGATACTGACTGGGAAAATAAACATTTTTTTTCCCAATTTTTTTGAGGTGGGAGAAAGTAACTAAGCTTCATAGACAGGGAAATTTGGAGTCTACAAGGTCAGAGGCTGCTCCACAGGAACAGGCCAGCTTCTGGGGATTTCGTTATGGTGACACTGATATGTGACTCAGGTTCCTTATTCCAAAACAGTTTTGCTTACTGAGCTTTTCTCTTCACACGAATGTTTACAACATGAGGCTTCCAAGAGAAGCAACACTCATGTCTGAGAAACACAGAAAAGTGAATATTACTGTAGGAAAAGAAGGGATTGGGAATTTAAGCAATGATATTGTGATTACCCATGGGTGAGAATTTGTTTTTCTGTTGCATTTCTATTGCACTGCCAGTTGAAGTTAAAGGATACATAATGGGGCTATAACGTAATACTCAAATATTCCTCTATAATTTAATATGCAAATTCATGGTTGTAAATTAGAAATGTACTGGTTATTTTCTGGTTATTTTTTCTCAGAGTCCTCCATATTACCAAATTAGGCTTATTGCAGGAAAGCCAGATAAGAAATGATAGATTTCAATCATTTTCCACCTTAAATGTAGTTTTACTACACTGAGAGGATCCATTTCATGACTACAAAGTTTGAGTGGTGACTGTGTCCGGATGAGTACCAACTATGAGATTTTGTGAGTGGCATGGAGTCCTTGTCAGATGTTAGAAGGCTTGAACCTTAGCAGGAAGGTAATTCAGAATTAATAGCACTGAACTACACAGGTTTTCCAAGCAGCAGTGGATACACAGTGCTGCCAAGCTGGTAGCAAGAAGTTTTGAGGGTGATGTTATGTGGGGATATGTTTTGGAGATGTAACTGGGAGCTGTTTTGCCATTTGTTGCTGTTAGTCCTGGGAAATATCACTTGCATGAGGAATGATGTGTCTGAGGTGAATGTTTTGAATCTTGGGCTTTA